TTTTGCTGACCCTCTACTTTTCCAAGCTCAAAGTATGTGAGATGCAGTTTCATCATTATTGCTTCTAAGGAGCTCTCTGGCTACACATTCAATATATTTATTCTTTTGGAAGTCCATGAGATACTTAGTACTCTTCTCCAACACCACAACTGAAGGATAGTTATTCTTCTTCTGCAATCTTTTATTCATTTCCCAGCTCTCAGACATACAGCAAATGATTGAAAAGATCATGACTTGAATAAGGTGCACTTTTTTCTTCAAAATGACATCATTGCTCTTCAATACTTTGGATAGGTCCCCAATAGCAAGCTTTCTCAATACAAAACATCTTTTGATTTCTTGACTACTGTGGATCTAAGCAAGATGAAATAATTGAAAATTTCAATCTTTTTTCTTCATTTATCTTGCCTATCTATTGGCCTAGTGGTGAGAATTTTTATTTTCTTGATGCTGAGATGTAATCCATATTGAAGGCTGTGGTCTTTGATCTTTTGCACCATGTACTTCTGGTCCTCACTTTTTTTTTTTAAAGTTGCAATTCGGTTTATTTTAATGCTTCGAATTTATGAGAGTAAGGTCTTCATTTTACATCAGAAGTTCACCAATACTGAATTTAGAAAGCACAATCAAGGAAAGACTCCAAATTCTACCGAGACCACACAATTTAGCACAGTGTTGTTAAAACAGAAGCAGAAAACTGAAGTGAGCAATAAGGAAGTTCTTAAAAACTTTAGAGGACCCATGACATGAATCTTAGACTATACAACAGAAGCTGTGTAATATGTGTGTGTGTCTGTGCACATATTTTTCTGGGGAGGTCTTTCATAACTGTAATCAAATTCTAAAGGGACTCCCAATGGCTAAGAAACAGCACACAATAGAATTCTAATATTCCTCTATGTTTTCAACAATCATGGAAACTGTGGACCTTGGGAAATTGATTTTTGTGCATCAAAGATTATCTTTAAATGGGAAGAGGTAGAACAGAAAACAAAAGGACATTGTGTAAGAATTGGGTGGGGGAAGAACTTTGAAGTGTCAAGGAACAAATTATGTTTTAGAGAATTAAGAACACATAAGTGGTAACACAAACCAGAAGCAGGGGGACTCCTAGGGGATTTGCAAATGCTTAGAAAAACCAAATTTTTAATAGAAATCAAGCAAATAGCACGAATTTAAAACACCATTTCATTCAAGTCCAATTTTCTGATTCAGTATATTATCAACTAATTTATCTTTCTGAAATCACAAACTTCAATCAGAATTTTAAAAATATTAATCTGCATGCATTTAACAAATTTGACAAAAGGACAAGTATCCAGTTTATGAGAATTAGAACTATGAACTTATAAATGAACAATAATTAACACGTATTTAAAATTTAGGACAGGTAGTGATGAAAATCCTCCTCACTTTTGACAAGCAAGGTTGTGTCATCTACATAATACATTGTTCATGAGTCTTCCTCCTATCCTGATGCCACATTTTTACTTTATAGAGTCCAGTTTCTCAAATAATTTGCTCAACATTAGTTCAGAGAAAGGATACTACTCTAACACATGCCTTCCCTGATTTTAAACTATGCAATGTTTCAGACAAAATATTGTTGGTCTAGGTCTTTTATGAATATGATTAGTTGTTCTGGGATTCCCATTCTTCTCAATGTTATTTATAATTTGTTATCATCTACAGCACAATCAAATTCTTTTGCATATGACTGAAACACAAATAGATTCTTCTTGTATTCTCTGCTTCATGCCAAGATCCATTTGACATTAGCAGTGATATCTGTGGTGTCACAGACTCTTCCTTTTAACTCTCTTTTTTTTAAGGGTAATAAAAGAAAGGTGAAAGCCAATATCGGTGTCTGTTGACACTGACTCATGGTGATCATGTGTCAGAGTGAAGCTGTGCTCCATGGCATCTTAATGACTGGCATCATTTGGATGTAGATCACCAGGTCCTTCTTCCAAGATGCCTCTGGGAGTATCTGGCCTTCAACATTTTGGTTGATAGGCAAGTACTTTAACCATTTGGCACCTGGGTTGTTGTTGATTGCCTTTGAGTTGAGCACAACTCATAGCGACCCTATGAACAAAAGGCTTAAAGCGCCTCTACAACTACTGCCCTTTAGCAAACTTCATAGAGTTTCCAGAGGCATGTTGTTTAGGAAGTGGATGCCACTCCTAGTTCCGACAAGATAACTGTTTGATCAATATTCAGTAAAAATTCTTCTACAAGAGGATGTGTGGTGGTAGCGGGTGGGGATTAATCATGGGGCCGTACAATTTGATGGGGAGGGGTGAGGGAAATGAGAAGGATCTGGCATGAAGAGCAATATATTAAAATTTTGTAAATAAACTAGAATAAAAAAGAATGTAAAATAGAATATGTGAAACACAATGTAAATGAAAGTTTGTATAAAACAATGTAAATGAATGAAACATACTGTAAAGATATTGTTGTTGTTGTTAAGCGCCGTTGAGTCGTAAGCAACTCATAGTGACCCTACGAATGAAAGTGCGTGACTGTCATCATTTCTCCAGGTTCATAGGGTTTCTGGAAGCAAGCTATTTATGGAAGTGGATGCCACTCCTGCTTCCAAGCTGGTTTTAATCTGGGAGCTCCACCAAACACTGTCCACCATGGGTAACCATTATCACTTTTGACACATCAGTGTCACAGTGTTCAGCTTCACAGCAACCACAAGTTACCTCTGTATGGCAAGTAGACACACCAGGGCTATCTGACCTACAAGAATATTTGACCAAAACCAAATAAAAACAGGCCTGAGGGCCGTGGGTTACAATCACCCATTATTATATGAAAATCATTAAAAAATATTAAAAAAACTTTTATAAGGCAAATTAGAGAACAACCTTAAGAATCTTTTCATTTTTTAGAATAACTTTATTTTTAAATAGATAATATTTTCCTGTTTCCCATTAGGGAGCTCTGGGCCCTAGTAGTAAGAATTTGCATTGCAATGCCAAAGGCAAACGGTTTGAATCCACCAGTTGCTCCGTGGGAGAAGTATAGGCAACCTCTTCCTATGTGATTTACTGCCCCTGAAAACCTGCTGGAGGGTCAGCTACGGGTCAGTTCCACCTTGGTGGTACACAACAACAACTTCCCCTTAAGGTACTATCAAAAAGAAAACAAAAACTACCCTCAAACTCAGTGCTGTGGAGTCAGATCTAACTCACAGCTAGTGGGTTTCAAAGGCCAAGAACAAACTGGGAGGAGGGTAGGGAGAATAGTGCAACAATGAATGAATGGAAACCCAAAATCTCTCTGTAAATGTTTATGAAAATTAATAAAATATAATTATAGGAAAAAAAATTGCATGGGTGGACACTCCTCATGTTTCTTCAGAAGAGTGATTTGATTCTAGTATCCAGAGAATCACTGCTTAACTCCTTGTGGAGTATGCCACCAGAGTTTCCTCTAAGGTCCTATGAGATAAAGTAAACAGACAATGAAGGTTAACCTCTGTAACTGACCTCAGCCTTTGAATTGACTGAGCAGCACAGTGTGAAGGGGAGCATGTGACAATGATGAGGGGAAGTTATAGGAGCAAGAAATCGACCACCAGTATCCATGGAAAAGCAGCTAGCCTACCAGTGGAATGCAGCAATAGCTTCCTGAGTCTTGGCTCTGCCCCAGATCAGCAGTACCCACTCAACACCAGCAGCTTCTTGGAAAAAGTGCAGTGCAAACCCCACCCCTGGATAGCTGTTCTTTGCTTTCAAAGCTCAGCTGCTCTCTAGGCTGTCTCCTAAGCACTTGACTCAAACCAGAATCCGATCAGTCTTTTTTTTTGTTCAGTAACAGCATTCCTAAGCCTCATACTGCCTAAAAATACAATTATCAGCCCTTCCCACAAGTTTATAGATTCCCTGAGATTCCTTGGACACATTCAGTGCTTCCATATCTTTGAGGTACATAGTGTTACTAGCACCAGCAGCAGGATTTCTCACTTTCCTTTTTTGCTAGGTCATTATTGGATCAGGCAGACCCTCACTTGGCTTTTGTCATATTGCTAGAACCTATCATCATTAAGGTATGGTTTTGAAGTTCTATGAATACCTCTTAAGCTTTCAGGTGCCCCACTAGTCTCTCTACTAGACCTGTCATGTTACAATGGCCAGCTTGTGTGACCGGTTCCATTTTTTACAATGGAGGGTCCCCAGGGATGGTGATTATGTCTTATAATTTTTATAATCTCCAGCTCCTAGCAGAATTACCCAAAGTTAGTATGTAAAAAGCAAATTCCTCAAAGCAGAATGAGTGACTTTCAAGGCAGTGTGTACAGTGGTTAAGTATACCGGAGGGGGGGGGGCAGGATTTAAAATTTGGCTCTCCTATTTACTATAGCAAGAATATCCTAAAAATACTACCAGGATAATTCCTGTCTCATAGAGTGTTGGTTGCTGTCAAGTAATCCCATAACCCATGGTGACTTCATGCATAATAGAACTAAATGCTGTCTCATCCTGCACCATCCCCGTATTAATTGTAGATCAGACTGCTGTGAACCATAAGGTTCTAATTGGCTGATTTTCAATAGATTTCCAGGCCTTTCTTCCTAGTCTATCTTAATCTGGAAGCTTTGCTCAAACCTATTCAGAGTCACAGCAATACACAAGCCTTCACTGACAGCTTCACAGCCTCTTGGGAAGTCTCCTCATGGTAGCTTCCTATAAGATCCATTGGCTGGAAGTTAAATCTGGGCTTCCTACATGGAATTCCACCATTGAGCCATCAATGTTCCCTCCTAGCATTGTAGGGAAATATAAATAAAACCAGGCAAATAATACTCAAGTCCTTCCTGTTTGGTAACATACATGGTCTAGCCCTGAAACTTATGGCGCACATAACGTGACAATAAGCAAATACTATTTATATGAAAAAACAAGTTTAATTGTCAGAAAAAGATAACACAGTTATCTTGGTATAACACAGTTATGGTCCTGGGGTAGAAATGACACAGGCCCATCCTACTTCTTGGGGCGGCAGTGTTTCTGTATTTCCTCAGCAAGCCCCAGGCAGTGCAGGATACGCTTTTTCTCCACAGCCAGCTCTTCCTCAGAGAATTGGCCCAAGAGTTTTTGCACAAATATATTTTGATCTTTCAGAAAAATGTTCTTGTTGACTCCTACATTGGGCACATTCTCCAGAGACCCAGATTTAAAGTGGAAACTTAAGTATCTGTTCCGCTTCAGGCCAGGCCCTTTCTCTTCAGTCCATGTCAGCGGGCTGCAAGAAGAGAGGATCATACATTAGCAATAACAAAGAGAAGGTGCCCCTGCCTGTCTGTCAGTTGGACCCCACTTCTGTCCCTCTTACTTGTTCACTGTGGTGGGTGCTCAATGTGTCCTTGGGCATCCTGACCTCTACCATGAGGCTTCAGGGTGGCTTCACTATCAATCTTTACTTAAATCTAATCATGCCAGCAGACATAATTTAATGATTTTACATGAACAGTAGTTTGTTAATCAGGAGTTTTTAACCTTTAGTCTTATGATTAACCCCCAGGAATTGAGATATGGACTAAAGCAGCCCACAATCCCCCACCCTGTAAGTGCTGTTTCCATATAGATAGGCATTTCCAGTTAGCAGTTCAACACTAACAGAGCACTTTAAGATGGCATTTCTACAGGAGAGACTTCCTAGATTTTTATCAGATTCAGATTGGAGTCTCTGACCTGAAACACATGACAGAAAGCATTAGATACTCACTGCTGAGTCCTTCAAATTCATCCCTCAAGGTCATGTCATCACTTAAAATATCTAAAATCCAATCATAATTAAGGTCACCTTTCTAGACTTTTTTCTTTTTCAAAGTTAACTTTTTTCTCTCTTCATAGCAGACAAAACCCCAGCTCTTTGTTCATTATCTAAATAAAAATGTTTCACTGACTGACATGATGGAGGAGAGTATTAAACTTGCAGACTAACAGAAAGGGGAACCTAGGTAGAACTATCAAGTATGGAAATACAAAGGAGGAGGAACAGTTGTAAGCAGACCCTAGTGATTGGAACATGGAATGTGAGAGCCATGAATGAAGGAAAATTAGAAATTGTTAAGAAAGAAATGGAACACATAAATATTGACATATTAGGCATTGGAGAGAT